GGCGCCCCTCCGGCGGGGAGGCGGCCGCCAGGCGCTTGGGGAGCTCCGAGTGCCTCCCCTCCGCTGACGCCCAAGCGACCGAGGAGTCTTGGCCGCTACAAATAATTTACATGCTCAGGAACGTGCTGGAAGCCCAGTTGTCGATGAGTCTCTGACAGATGACGGTGAGAGGTGTCCTAAGCTGGAGGCGGTCGGCTCTTAAAAATTTGGTTTGCGGTGCTTAAAAAATTTTGAAGAAAGCGGCAGGTAAATATCTGAAAGTGTTAGGGAGATGTCTGCGTTGTAACTAAAGGTGCAGCTAAACTCGAGGTTGTGTACGTGCTTTCCTGGCTCTCGCACTGATGGAAGAACAGCCCATTCCTTATGAACACTTCTCTCATTCTCTGTCTTTTGCTTGATGTATTTACATCTTGGAAACCTCTATTTAAATTATTGAGTTTGTATTTAAATTATTGAGTTTGTATCTTTTTGTTCAAATGGGGGATAAAATGGGACATTAAAAGTATGCACTAACACAACCCAGTTTTAACCCAAGTTAAAAGAGGGTTGGGAGGAGTTGGGTGAATTGATGCAGCGTCACACCGATACCATTTTCAAATTTGTATAATAAAAACATCTTGCACTCATTCTTTTCACAGCAATAGACCCCACTTTGTTAAAGACAGTCTTTACCTTTCCCAAATGTTTTGCTCTAATTCTGTATTTTGGGACCCAACCTTTTCAAGGCAAGCCAGAAATCCATACTGTCATGTTACAAACTATGATATCACGCCGTAGTCTAGTCATATCAAGATGTAAGCTACAAAAATAAAATGGCTTGTCTTTGTTTAGCCTTCCACAGAATTAAGGCTATTTTCAGTTCCTCTTCTTACGTCTCATAAGTGAGACACCAGACTACCTGAATATTTAATGAGTAGTAAACCAGAAATCTGTAGAAGCAGAAAGTATAACACGCATTTTTTAATAGCAACAAAGACAGGTACTTATCTGAAAGAAGCTTGAACAATTCAATTTCACAAAATTAATAAACAGCAATTTTATATAACCACATCTGCAGCTATTCATAATGTGAAAATGTCAAAATCAAATAAAGCTTACCCAAAAGAAATTATAAAGGAACCCATAGAGATGAGGGTAAAAATTGATACAGGCATTTAGAAAAAGCTTTTTAACTCTACTTCAACCAAGAAAATGATTCTGGTCTTTCCCTTCAAAACCTAACAACCTAGTGGCACACTGGTGCAATGATTCAGGAGACAGTGTGAACATTGAAAATTTGTGTGCTGTAATTCTGCTTGTAAAGGCACTTTTTAAACATACAGAACAAGCTTTTACAGCTGATAAGTGATAAAGAATTTTTTTTCTCTAGACCGAATGTTTATGCTCTTTCTCTTTGAGCTTATAGTGCATGAGATACATAAAAAAATGTTAGGTTTTCCAGTGTTACCACCTCAACTAAATTCTGGTAGTGTAACTAGCAGATATCAAGAGTTACCAACCAGTAAATATCACACTGAAATTCCATAGTTACCTACAGTAAGGTCTGCCCATGGCTTCAAGGACTGGTTTGTCTGACTGTGTCTCTTCAAAGAGTATATCAGCAACAGAAACCACTGATGTGCCTCAAGTCTAGACTAGAAAAATTCATTTTCCACTAAACCCTCCATAAATGCATCACTCTGTCTACAGGTGTCTTTCCTATAACTCTTAAAAATGTATTAAATTCTAGCAGAAAGTTCTTGTCTTTTTCACTGAAGCATGTCCACTGCACAGCCCCTTCCCTTTACCAAAATGTCATTGCTCCTTTCAGGTCTTACGCAACACTGCTATTCAATCTAGCCCATCACAGGAGAAATGCTCTCTTAATTCTTATTTTCAAACCAAGAAAACCAGCATTTGGTCACTTCACAATGACTATTAATCAGCCACTATCATATTTGCCTTGAGTGTGTGAGATGCAGAAGATTAAATCAGTCATGCACAGACTTTCTTTCCCCTCCTCTCCTCTTTCCCACCCACCTCCCAAACGGCTCAGCCTTTTTTTCTTCAGCAATTCAGGTTTGGGAAGAATAAATTCCATTGTACCAATGATTCAGAGACAAACTGAAAGCCAAGTAAAATATTGTTCTCCCAAATCTGACAGGAAAACTTACAGGATGGAAACATCCAGAAGATAAAACCCACTTGTCTTATAATGTACTCCAAAAGGTGTTACTTGTCACTGTCCCCTTGCTCCCAAAATATATACAGAAACTACTGGGTTGTACTGAAAATTTCCAGTTTTCCAGATGATGAGCTGTGACTCAGTACTCCTACTGATATACCTCAGTGCACCATCCATTTACTTTATGTGATGGTAAATCATCCCTCACTTTCCTTCCACTAGAACTTATTAAACACCATCCTGTGTTTGTGGGTCTAATGTACCACACCATGTCCCACCTTGTCCATCTGAGATCAGATCAGGTAAAAGTTCTTCTATTCCAGCATTTTTCTATTCCAGCTCTTTGTTTCAGTTGCTACCCAAATGTTCTTACATCTCTGAGAACATGCAGGTTCATCACCTTAAATGTGGCTTTCTCCACTGTCCAGCCTGGACCATATTCCTGTTTATTGTCTAGGGAAATATGAACGGTGGGCACAGAGATCTTTCACTTTATGCCGAGGTAGTTTGTCAAAACTACTTCTAGGAAAAGTCTGGTTTTTTCTCCACATGCAAAATCCCTTCAAAGAGTCAGTGAGGTGATG